GACTGCAAGCAGAAATATGAACGCCAGAAATCATTCAACTGGTGAATGGAGGAAACTTAAATTATGGCTCAGTGCTGAAGCGGCTTGAATAATCCTCTTCCCTATCTCATGTGTTTGCCCGATGTATGATGGAGAGCGCTTCCATTTCTAACTTGAAAAACATTCTTACACTCTACTATAACATGTTCATAGAAACTTCAGGAAAAGAGAAAAATAAAAAATACTTGGTGAGACAAAAGTTCGCTTGGAGATTTGTGTTAGGAAAAAAATAGAAGAGCTTTATATTATCTCTTTATTTGTCTGTAGGCATTTGCATTGAGTCAGGCTGAGGTGGAGTTAATCTTCCCACAGCAGCTCTCTCGGTGCTGTGTTTCTGGAGTGGTAGCTAGAAGGGTGTTGATAGCACCCCAGTGTTTTGGCTACTGCTAAGCGGTGCTCACACAGCACCAAGGCTGTGGTTTTTCAGCGTTCCCCCAACAGTGGGCTGGGTGAGGGCAACATCTTGGGAGGGGACACAGCCAGGCCAGCTGACTCAAACTGACCAAAGGGGTATTCCATACCATATGACCTCAGCTCAGATATAAAACCGAGAAGGAAGAGGGAAGTGAGGGGGCATTCGCTGTTTGTGTTTGTCCTCTGGAGCAACCACTACGAGTACCTGAGCCCTGCTTCCTGAAAAAGTGGCTGGATGTTGCCAGCTGATGGGAAGTAGAAAATAATCTTTGTCTGACTTTGCTTCCACGTGCAGCCTTTGCTATTGCTATATTAAACCGTTTTTACTTTGACCCACTGGCCTCTCGTTATATCTTCTCTCTCCCCTGTCCATCTTAAAAAAAGGGGAGTGATAGGGTGGCTTTGGTGAGCTCCTGGCCTCCAGTCAGAGCCAAACCACCACAGCATTTCACAAGAAATAGGTCTGAATCTGGAATTCCAGAAGTGATATAAGAACAGTGTTCTGTTCAGTGGTAGACAAACACAAGAAAAGAGATGGTATGAAAAATTGAAAGTATATAAAATAAAGTTTAGCAAAAATGTGTTGTCCACTGTTCTGAAGTACTCTGTAAGACACAGAGCTTATGTATATATAAAGCTTAAAGGAAAATAATTCCCTTCAATTTCCATCAATTTGAATTAGCTCTCAGGATTTATATCTTGTGAATTTTCAATTCATAATGAATAATGCCATTTGATTATAAAATGTGATAACTGACAAAAAATAAAATATGTACAAAAAAGTCTTGTAATAGCATATAAATAATTAGATAGGGACTGCTGTTAGATTTTTTTAGCATAGCATTATTTGGTTTCCTGAACTCTTGCTGCACATGTTTGTATTAGTCAATGAAAAGGAAAATGTGACAGTTAGCCCAAGGGTTTTGTTGTTCAATATAAGTCTTAATTTTAGTTTGTCAGTTGATCCAATGTATTAGTCACAATGGTTTCAGCTGAAGAAACACTACACTGAGAATCTAATGAATGAATAATATTTCCTTTAAAAAAACCGTATGTATGAAATATTTTTATACAGCTCTCAGAACAAAAGTGCTGTTCTCTTCCTTTAAAATGTCTGTTTTCTTTTTCCAAAGTTGTTAACTTCATTGACATTTGTGATTAATTGGGTTTTAAAGATGCTGACATTTAAAGCTGATCCTTCTTCTTTTCAGCTTCTGTAACTAACCTTGGTTTACAATTCCTTTCACCTATTCTTCTTTCCAATAGTGGCCATTGTTTAACAATTACACTTATAGTAAGTTTCTGTGTCTGTTCTAAAACTTTAAAGCAACAGAGGATGGAAACAGTATTTACCTTTTTGATTATTTGCAATGCAAGAGTACATTTGGAAAAAAAGCGTAGTATTGTCAAACATTTATTTCTGATTTTTTTATTAGTACTTGAAAAACTTACTTTGTAGTGCCTGATACTGTTGTTGCACGTGTGCCACATGAGGAGTGTATCCTTGTGCTGGAAAATCAGAGAACCTTTTTTCTTATGATCTTTCTTTATTTTTTGCTTTTCATCAAAGATGCCAAAATTAAAAAAAAAATAATTAATAAATATGGAAAAAAAAGAGCTTGCTCCATGTAACTAAGCTTTCAGTAGGAGGGGAGGAGGAAGCTCCCAGGAAGCTTAGCAGATGAGTCCTTCTGTGATGAATGGGTCTCAGTCCCTTAACTGGTAGCTACAAGTTAGAAGTCAGTGAGTTCAGAGAAATTTTCACTTTTTTATAACCATTGAGTTTTTAATTGGTTGTTTTTGATGACTGAAAAATCTCTATAGCTATAGGGTATATAACTGTAAAGTGTATGCCAGAGGAAGTTTCTTAAAGATCTGTAAAGGAGTTCCCCACTTCCCCTTCTGCTCTTTCTTTTTTTTTTTTTTTTTAAAAGGGCAAAAGAAAGATACTAGGAAATATATTATTGTCCTTATGAAGAATTATATGCTGAATTAGTACAGTAAATGTGTCAGTAATTTGCTGTGGTGGCAAAGTATCTAGATCTATATTGGTGGTAATTGATGCAAACAAAAATGGATTTATTGATCTGTAGCTTTTATAAAGAAATAACAAACCTGGAATGGAAAGGTTTTTCAGCTGCTACTGTTGAGCTTGTTAAGTTATGCTAGCTGTTCTTCTATATGCAATTTAAATTTTTTTCCATGCAGCTGATTTTGCTCTTGTATTTTTTTCTAATGTATCTTGCTATGTTTACACATATGCAAATAATAATTTTTAAATGGCATATTTTTATTAAAGTGCATTTTCTGAATAATGTAAATCTTTGCTCTTTGGAGCTATTAGGGACATCTGAATTTTAGCTCCCTTGTAGTGAGGGAAGCTAAAAGGAGAAAGTAAACACACACACATTTACACACCAAAATCATGACATATGCTGGGGGAATATAAGAGAGAACCCTGCAGAAATAACCTTTCTGCAACAGTGCTTTTCTGTGACTGGCTACCTCCAATAGAAACATAGAATAAACATACCCTATGACAGATGAACTGAAGCTGTAATGCAGTGGAACTGAAGAAAATTTATTTGAAAAGAGCACAACTTTAGAGAAAATTAACTATGTCATCACAAGAGCATGGGAAATAGGAGAAGTCTTCTTATGTAATCTTTAGACTTCTTTGTGTTACTACACACACGATATGCCAGCCTTGCTAAGTGTTGCAGATTATTTATAATAAATTCCTTTGAATTAATGCATTTTATTTTTAAAAAGAGACATTTAGGCTACTGCTTTATATTAAGGGATCTTAGTGCTTCCATTAATTTAATATGGACTTACTTCATAAGTTTCAGAATGAAGTCATAGTCTGTTTCTAGAATAAAAAGTTAACTTGTATTTAGCATAGTATTTCAGTGAGAGGACAGAGTAGCATCGTTTGAGAAAAAATGCACTTGCTTATTATTAGAATAACCATTTAAGGGAGCATAAGAAGACTTTTAAATAGGTGATGCATTGACATTAGAGGAGGAATAAAACTGTCTTTAAATGCAAGCATGGAGCTGGAAAAATCAGTTATTAGATTCTAGATTAGTTTCTAGAGAATGGAGAAGAAATCTGCAGAGGACCACACCTGCAGGTCATCTTTCCAGATAGAAGGGTTAGTTAATGCATCTGTTTACTTACCTACACACTCTCATTCTAATTTCTCAAAGTTGGGCATATGACCATACTTGGGAAAAATGCATTGCAGATGAGATTGTTGTTTATAGAATTGTTAAAATGGAGCAGAAAGGCTGGATCACATGGGAAATGCAAATCAGAGATGCTGGGGTGGCAAAGGAAAGAATTAAAAGAACATGACAAGTAAGAATGTTTTGAGGGAGCAAGGACCAGACATAACTATGACTGTGAATCAGGAGGAAGGGAATAAGATTACTGTAGTATAACGAGGCATGAAAAATAGGATAGGAATTCGTGCATTTGGAAGATGAAAACAAGGAATTGCTCTCAATTTTGTTCAAAGAGTCAAAAGTCAGCTGAAGGCTTATCTACTTGAAACCAATATCCTGAGTCGAACACAGTTTGGATTCATGCCACGAAGCAGAGCTGAAATGATGTTACAGATATAGAGGAATTTTTCTCTTTTGAATTGATAAAAACGAGTTGTCCAATCTTCTTCTCCATTAGACAGTGCTAATTGTTTAGTCTGGGAGAGGCATCCAGCATGTAGAATGTTGCAGTGAAGAAGCATTGAAGCCTCTGCACAGGAGACTCAAACCTTGCACCATGTTTTCCTCTTACACAGGCTGCTTGCTGTGTTTTCACTGTTCCCTGCGTTAGCATTCCATAGAAGGCTGGATCAGATTGAAAGTTTCTACCCATTAGGCTTGAGGTGTTTTTTCCTCTGAGTTCACAGCATCAGTAGATAAAGCTCTGGTATTAACAACTGCGACTGTCAGTTCCCCTCTTCTGCTGGCTGTTACTTGCTTTCGTAATTGCAAAAGGGAGAAACTGAGCTCTTTTAGGGGCTGGTATAAATCAGCTGGGTGCCTGCTTCAGAAATTAAAATTACACCTTTCAGTGAGAAGAGTGTATTTCATTGACCTGGGTGGTTTTTTGTTTTGTTTTTTTCTTAGGAGCATAACTCTACATGTAAAAGAAATTGATCCCTTTTGTGCTTTTCTCTCACAAAGAGTTTGAAATAATAAACATATATAATGTTGAGGATATTGTTTAATGAGCTTCTAATGGGTGTGCTTGTGCAATGATGTCGAACTCATTTTTTTGGCATATTTTGGAAAAAGCATTATTTGATTACAGAACAAGTATATACCTGGAGGAATGTTTCACAGTTTTTGTGTGGAGAAGGAATATTTCAGATCCAGCAAGTTTCTTCTACTGTAGCTAATTGAAATAGCTTGTTATGTTCAGTACGAGAACATTGTTGGGATACTGCTAAATATATTTTAAGTAGATATAAATATTAATACATACACCTACATATATGCATATGTGAGAAATAAAAAATTTATATATTTATCTTGCAGGGGTTGATAAGCTGATTCGACACTTACACAAGCACAACATACCCATAGCCGTTGCCACTAGCTCAGCTGAAGTGACGTTTCAGGTGAAAACAACCAGACATAAGGATTTCTTCGGTCTTTTTCATCATATTGTGTTGGGAGATGACCCTGAGGTGAAGTGTGGCAAGCCGCAGCCTGATGCATTTCTAGTTTGTGCAAAGAGATTTCACCCTCCTGCACCTCCAGAAAAGGTAAGAAGGGGAGGTAACAAATAAACTGAAAAGGAATATTCTGTTTGGGCTTTATTTTGATTTAGTTTTTTAATGTGATAAATACTTAGATTAAGATTTAACATAAACATTATAAAAATCAGCAACCTCTGTTTTCAAAGGTGTTTATGCTGTTGAAGCAAGAGATTGTTGGAGAGCATCATTTCCTCCCACTACATATGATATTTGTAATGCAGATTGCTCTGATTTACTACATGGTAGTGTGAAATAATAGGAAAGTATAATGGTTTTCTGCTCTATGCATAAATCTGCAAGCTTAACTTCCATACACAAAGTTTGGAAACAGTTATTTAAACATAGATCAGTTTATTTTTCATACATTCATGGCTGATTTACCTCTTAACTGTCTAAACATTAAAGATACTTCTTTGTGAAGGGGGCATATATTTTTCCTAAGCCATCTCTTTCCTCTTGCATTTTACATCTCTGAGACCATAATTCTCTTTTTCTGATTTAAAACCGATCAGTTTGAGCAGTCTTTCTTAGACAGTAGAGGTGGTTAGTTTCTCTCTCTTATATATAACTTTCTAAACTTGATTCTGAAATAGAAATCCGTAGGGAGAATATTTGAAGGATAAAATGAGAGTTAGTTAAAATAATGTATTTGCTTTTATTTTAAATTAAATTGCATTTCTCCTTTAAAATATTTTTCTCACTTCCTGTCGCATTCAGAATGGAATGTAAATTCTGAAGTTCTGGAGTTTCTTTACTGCAGAGAAATGCATGACATACTAATTTTTAAGAAACAACTTTAGGTGGATTAGACTATAATTACTGTTTGCTCAATAGGATTATTGAGGGGAAAATGGTTACACAGATACACATGGAACGATTAAGATTCTTCAGACTTTAATACTTCAGGTTCTCACTCAGAATCTAAATAGTATTTGCTTTTCCGGGGAATACAGTGAAATAAGGTTTGTTGCAATATGACATACTATGAACAGTGTTAACCATACTAATTTTGGATCTTGTTTGGGTGGGATTTGGGTTTGTTTGTTGCTTTTTTTAGTTGTTGTTTTTTTCCCTGTTTCAAGTTCTCTCATGCATGTGCATCAACCTTGTTTGGAAACTCAGATGTATACCAAAAGTACGTGGTCATGTTGTGTGTGCGGCCCTGAGCCGCAAGGCTGTAATTTCACCTTAGAGTCAGGTGTGAGTTTTGAACATGTTCATACTCAATTGAGAAGGAATATTGGGAAGTACCTTAAGGTTTTGGAGGGAGTAAGAGAGAAGTTGAAAACAAGCATAAACCAGAGCTTAGTGTTGCTTACGGATAAAATTATTGCTTTCTGCTTAACTGTGTTTCTGGGGAACAAAAGATGTGGGTATGTTCCTATAATGTATGGTGTGCTTTTTATGAAACAGGCTGAGAGTCATGTAATGTGTGCTTTTCAGTTGGATGGAGGGGTGGCTGTAAGCTGTTCTGTAATTCTGAAAGTAACAGTAGAAAGCATTGAGAATTTATGTAAAGCTGGGTTATAACTGGGATCTGAAGGAAAGGTATGGAAATTAAATGTCAGTTGTGTTAATGACAAATTAAACTATTATTCTTTTGTATGAGGAGCCTAATACTGATATCCAGTACAGCTCTCCCAAAACTCTTAATTTATTCACAAGGTGATAATAATTAAAAAGGACAAAAATATAAAAAAAACCAAACCAAGACCAAACAATAACAGGGAACCTATGTTATAGAGAGTTTTATATATTAAGTAGTAAGTAGCCTTAGCGGTGTTAACAAGGAAAAAATGTTTGAAGATACTAATAGCGTCTATATTTTACTTAAAGCTGTAGGCTTTGAAAGTATGTTAGATAAAATTTTAGAGTGCTCCTGGTAGTTTTGTATAGATTTTTTAATCTTTGAAGAATAGCATAAATATTTGAACCCATGCTTTTCCTTTATATGAAATTCAACAGCATTCAAAGTTAGCTTAGTGCAGCTAATTTGTCTGAGTGGTTTTTTTGTTGCATCTACAAAAGTCACAGATGTTAAAGTGTGGGAATTTAGCACAAGGACAGAACTCCCAAGAAGAAGAAAATCAAAACAGTACTTGCAAAACTATCTGAAACGTTCATGACCGATTGCACTGTAGTGATGGCATCTGCAGTGTTTAGTTCCAGGCAGTAAACTAAAAGAGCTATAGGTCTGGATTTCATGCAAAAATCAGCAAGTTTGCAGCAAACTATCAGGAGGTATAGGTAATGTCTGCATAAGGAGGTTGTTCAACTCAAGAGAAACAGATTATTAAAGCAATGTATTTGGTGCTTAGGCCCATAGCTCTATGCTCTATGTAATCTGAATGCTTTCAGTTGGATTTGATTTATTCTAAACCCTGGCTGAAAGCCACATAGAAGTGTTCTTTGGGGCTTTATGTCTGCCTGAGCATTGGAGACTGCTTAATACATCCACGGAGAGGACTTCCACTTCAGCTTCCTGCTACGGCAGACTGTTACCTAACACCAGAATGACTTAGGGAAACAAACCATCAGGTGTCAGATTTGACTGTCAGATTTGCTTCAAAACTTCACTGCTGCTCCAAGAGAAGAACGTAATGTAGGAAGGCCAAGTCCAGGATTTAGCTGTGGTGGCATACAAGCCTGTGGCTGTTCCTGTGCAGGCATGCTTCTACAAGTAGGCGCTTCTAAAATGATATAAAAAAGGATGTGATGTCTGCTTTACTGTCATTGAAGGCTGTCATAATTGTCCATCTGGGAATTTCTTAAATGTTGAGCTTTTGGTTTGCAGTCTTTGGTAAATAGGAACTTAATAAGAATAACCACAGCACAGAAGAATTTTGAACCAAATACACCCTGGAAATTGAGCCTAGCTCTCACTAGCTTGCAATGCAGTTTCATATGAACTTCCAATACTAGTAACAATGCACTGTCATATGAGTAATTAAATCAGTCAGGCAGCCAAAATGTGATCTGCAGAATAGATGCTTGAAATTTTGTCTTTTACTAAAAGTCTTTTCTTTTTTTTTAAAAAATATATGCCAAGTTCTACCCTCAAATGCACAGATGCAACTTGTATGAAAACCAGCTGGAGCTGTGCATACATATAAATGTATGCTTGAATATTGTAGAAATTTCAGCCAGAATGTTAAAAACACTGTGTTCTTTTTCATACGTTTTATTTAGACAATTGAAAAAAATAATTCTAAGTATTATTATTTTTTCTTTTTTGTTATTTTCCTACTTTTATGTGATCATAATTTGGAAAATAAGCTGTTTCATATTTTTCTAGAATTATTTATTTAGTATTTTACTATATTTAAAATTTTCTACAATATGATTTCCTTTTAAGGGAACCTTAAAAATGTATTGCAGAGGCAAAATCTAGAATTTTATTGATGACATGAATGAGAAATGTAGTAAATTCAGCTATATATGCCAAGAGATATCAAAGACAGCAAGAAGAGCTTCTCTAAGTACGTAGGAGACAAAAGGAAGACTGAGGAAAAAGTAGGTCCATTGGTGAAGTAGATGGTGGACTTGAAATAGACGGGAGTACTCCATGTAGCAACTCAGGAATCTCAGGTCCCAGAAACGGGAGGAAAAGATTGGAGCAGGGAAGATATACCCTTGTTGGAAGAGGATCAGATCAGTGAATATGTAAGGAGACTGGACATAAAAAATCAATGGACCTTGATGGGATGCACCCACAAATCCTGAGGGAACTGGCAGATGCCATTTTAATCTGAAGAAAGGAGTGTAAAGAAGACAGAGCCAGGCTCTTTTCAGTGCTCAGTGACAGAACCAAAGGTGTAGGACAAAAACGAACACAATAGGGTCTGTCTGAGCACAAGCAAACACTTTCTCACTGTGAGGGTGACTGTGCACTGGCACAGGTTGTACAAAGTGCTGGAGTCTTTCTCCTTGGAGATACTCAGAAGCCATCTGGACATGGTCCTGGGCAGCGGGTTCTAGGTGGCCCTGCCTCAGTGGGTAAGTTGGACCAGATAAGTACCAGAAGTCCCTTCCAACCTCTATCATCTGGTCATTCGAAAGTGCTTTCATTAAACAATATTTTTCTGTTCCATTTAAATTTAAAAGGCTCAGATTATTTAAAATTATGCTTTTGGAGTTTATAAATGTTAGAATGTCAATTCTTGCTTGAAAAGAGTTCATAATAACTTTGTTTCTTTTATATTGGTATATGAGATATATAAATGAGCTATAACTTTTCAATGTTGTCTTGAAGCAATTTTGTTTTCATCGTAACAAAAATGTTGTGCTACTAAATCTATTTCAAATATGGCTCTAACTCAAAGGTTTTCTGACATTCCCATGCAAACATTTATATATACTTCCAATATACTCATATCATTAATATATGAATTGATTATTTACCTACTTGAGGATGTGGTGAGCTAAAGCCTTTCTTCCCACTATTTTGGGAGTTTTGCCTATAGCTTTTTTGTAAAATAAAGTACCTTACTAGTAGCGTAATTTAAACCAAACAAATACCATATATGTCCATTATTTAAAAAGAGAAAAAGACTGTACTAATACAAGTGGTCATATCTCTCTTAAGAAGAATGAAATAGTTCTATCCAAGTAATGTAAATCATTATCTTAATTTAAAGCATTATTTCTTTGCAATTTCTTCCATTTCTAATTCATTAATTAATCCCATAGTTACAAATACTCTCTGTACCAAATCTAGTGAGAGCTCATTAAAATTTTTCAGACTGATTAAATGACATTAGGATTTATGAGTCTCAGTGGACTTTTTTTTGTCGTAGAAAAGAGAAGTTCAAAGAAAAATTTTCTGAGACTTTGTTGCTGTAAAGATGTAGCAAAAGAGTAACAGAGATTCAGAACATGATGACCATTTTGTAATTTTAAAACGTATTGTACAAGGAAAACAGAGGGTGAGGAAGGCTGATTTAGCACTTAACATTTAACATGACCATTATTATAATGACCTTGTGTAAAAACGGTACTAAACCCTG